AACAGACAGGTATGTTACCAGTTCATTAGTCACTATTATTTTCTGTGACAAATGATAGGACAGCCCCTCAATACCATGTTAGGCACAAGGGAAACCAGAAGATGTATTTCCATCGCAACTGATCCCAGCTCAGTGATAGCAACCTGTTTCTGCTCGTCCTCACTAATATTGCGATACAAGTTGATGTGTGCAGTCACAGCAAGTTTAAGGAACATTTTCTGTGTTGAACTTGAGGATGAGGAACTACTTATACAAAATACCTAACTACAAGGGCCTATCTCTAGGGGCCAAATAGGAACCACTTTGCATAATCTAAGAATTTTGATAGATTTAGATTTTACACAATTCCATCCTAAGACTTCTAAGATGAGGCGCATCCTCCCCTCGCTTTCCACCCAGGGGGTCTACACTGGGAAGGAGCAGCACTGGGACTTAGAAGCCCCAGCAGCAGCAAGAAAATGGGTCCTTTACTTCCTTGGGGTGAAGTAGCCAGTCACCGCGAGGACTGAGGTCAGATCCAGGGTCTGTCTACAAAACCGTCATCCACCAAACTCTCGGCCTGCACAGGCAATGGGCTGTTTAGCTAAAGAGAGGAGTTCAGATGCAAACGGACTTACCCGGGACCCAGGAATGCCTTGTTCTCCTATCAGGCCTGGAGGACCAGTGGGACCAGGTGGACCCTGAAGAGGTGAAAGGCCATTGTAAGTGCTACGGAGGTAACTCTTCATAAGGAGAATGACTCCATTCACAATAGCCAAAGAGGTGGAGAAAACTCAAATGCCCATCAGCCATAAAATGCGTTGTTATATCTATACAGTGGACTATTACTCAGCTATTAAAAGGAACGAAATTCTGACACATGCTACAACATAGATGAACCTCGAAAACATCAGGCTAAGTGAAAGAAGCCAAACCCAAAAGGCCACCTATTAAGTGATTCTATTTATATGAAATGTCCAGAATAGACAAATCCATAAAGACAGAAAGAAGATCAGAGGTTGCCAGGGGCTGGGGTGGAGGGTGATGAAATGACAGCTTAACAGGTACACGGTTTCCTTGGGGATGATGAAAATGTTTTGAAACTAAACAGAGGTGATGGTTGCACAATATTGTAAACTACTGAACCCAATGAATTGTTCACTTTAAAATGGTTAATTCTGTGTTATGTGAATGTCACCTCAATTTTCTTAAAACAACACCGGGGCATCTGTGAAAACATCACAAGGCGAGCAGTCATGCTGGGGGTACTGACCTGTGCGCCTCGGGTCCCCTGCTCTCCCTCGAAGCCCTGAGGGCCTGGACCACCCTTGTTGCCCTTTGAAACAAGAGAAGATGGGGGAGGAGTCAGGAGGGTTTATCTCAGGGTCAGCTCTTCGTTCTGCAGTCATTTCTAGACAAGGGACTAGGGAAACAATCAGGGAAAACACAGCCCTCCCAGGAGCCATGCCCTGGGGCGAGACATCGACTGCACGACTGCAAGGACTAGCTCCTCTTTGCGCTTTCCCAGTCTTCTCACTCTAGCCTCATCCTTT